CTTACCTCCAGATCCCCCATCACTCCTGGAGATCCAGGTTTGAAGTGTGCACCATTAATTCCTACAAATCAATCCCACTAAGGGCAATTCTAGACTCTCAACAACCTTGCAGATCCAGCCCTGCCAGCCACAATGGGGTTGGCAGCACTTACCTGGAGAGCAGAGAAATGCCGGGGAGAACGACAGGTTTGAAGAAGCAGCGAGCTCCACCTAACAGTCTGGACTTAAATAAATAGTTTTCTGACTGGGTGCGATAAGGCATAAATTTGAAGCGTGTGTTACTCTTACACACCTTTATGCCCCGAAGAGGGGAGAGAGAGCTGAGTCTTAGCCCAAGTTTGTAGCAAAACCGCACTGTATGTAAATAGCCCTCAGGCCTTTGATGTGGAGTGCAGAGGAAAATAATCCTCTCTAAAAAGCCAAGCGGAGCTGAAGCTCAGCGGGGCGGGCGGGCGGCCAGCTGAGGGTGCCCTGCTGTGTCTGAGCCCCTTCTCCTGCAAAGATGAACTGTCTTAGTTCCTGACAGGATTATTTCCTCTAATACCTTGATAGAGAAGCAAGCAAAAATGCTCCTTGTACAATTAAGTGGGAAGGTGAGAAGGCCACAGCAGAGAAAGGGATGGGAGAGGAGGAGGACAGGTGGCAGCCTGAACTCCCACCAGAATCAGGTCAGGCTGGCCCGCCAGCACCAGAGGGCGCCTCCCGGAGGTGGGCAAGGGGGTGGGAGCAGCAGCACCTTGGAGCCCATTCACTCATTCATTCATTCAGACACAGTCTGCTTTCTTGGAGCTTCCAGTTTAGTGTAAGACAGGACCAACTAATACACTAGTTGCATGCGTTGATCTGTACCATAGAGAAGAAAAGCAGGGGTGCAAGGTTGAATCACAAGGAGTCCCAGTTTAAATGGAGGCTGGGAGCAGGGGCGGGGTGGTAAAGAGCAGCCTATGGGGATGTGGCATTGAAGCCAAGGCCTGAGCACAAGTTGGCCAGGCAAAGGGTATAGGGAGGACATTCTAGGCAGAAGAAACAGTATGTAGAAAGGTCCTGTGGGGGGAATGAGCTTGTCGCACATTTCAGGAGCTGAAGAGGCCAGTGTGTTTGAAGCATGTGAGAGAGGGAAGGAAAGGAGGCCCAGCTGAGCCATGGAAGCCCAATGAGGATTTGGGACTTCATCTTAAATGCACCAGGAAGCCACAGAATGGTGTCAGGCCTCTTTATGGTGGTTCTGACTTGATAAAGAACTTTGCTCTTACAGCCCTGGTGGGTGTGGCTCATTCCCAGTCAGGGCACATGTCTGGTTGCAGGCCAGGTCCCCATTAGGGAGCATGCAAGTGACAACCACACACTGATGTTTCTCTCCCTCCCTTCCCCTATCTCTGAAAGAAAAAAAAAAGAACTTGGCTCTTATAGACTTACTTCGCCATCTCTCAGACATGGCTGCAGTCACCCTCCAGCTCCCTGCCCTGTCACTCTGGTTGCCACCACCCCTCAGCAAGCTCCCATCTGCATCAGTTCATATGTGGAAACTTAGCACATTTGCCGCAGCACCCATACCCATGAGAAGGGAGCAGCAGGAAAGGTGGGCCTGACAGAGCCACCTACAGGAGCTGCCCCAGGGCTTAGGATGAGGACCAGGCCTGTAAGGGAACATCAGGGATGGGAACCAAGTCTCTACACTCCCAAGGGCCTGTCTGCTCTCGTCCCAACAGGGAAAGACTTGGATTCACAAGGTTTCAATGCTGCCAGCCCAGTGCCTGCACAGAGCAGGCACTCAAGGATCCGCTGAAGTTAGCAATGCTCTAGGTCCTCCATCTCCTTTTGTAAGTGGGGAAACTGGGGGAGGCTGATATAAAGGAAGGAACAGGTTGAACTAGGAGTCCATGTCCCAAATGGATACATCCTTGCTGCCTCCTAGCCGTGAGCAAGTCACTTCCTCTCTCCCAGGTCTCTATTTCCTTACCTGTGAAGTCAGGTTGGAGGACGAGATGACCTCCAAGTCCCCCTTCAGTTCTCGTGCCTGGTCGTCACCCTCAGAAGCACAGAGTGAGTCAGTAGCTCTGTCAGAGCCACACAGCATGGTTGTTGCAGGGCTGGGATCACAGCTGACTCCAGGACTAGACAACATATTCTGACCCCAACCCAATATTCTCAAGTTCAAGTACCAAATGGAGGGGGTGAGGGAGAGGCCTAGAATTTGTGATGATCTAATGCTAAGCCAAAAAGTACTTTTACTTATAAATCTATATAGATAGAAAAATTAAAAATACAAACAATTTTAGAACCAAAAAAAGTTATTTGGTGGGTTTACAAAGAAAACCCTCTATTGGAGCACTCCAGATGTGCCCAACCCCTTGCATTGGGTGTGCTACCTATAAAATCCCATCATCTATTCATTACAGAGGCTGCCTTGGGGGCCAAGTTCATGAGCCAAGTTCAGTGACTATATACAATGGTGATGATAAAGCTCCGTTCTTTGAAAAATCATGTTCCAGCTGTCTCCACCACGAAGCTGAAAGAGCAGGGCTTGTCTGTTTTGAAATAGTTCAGTTGCCAGGGACTCAGAGCCATTTTATACAATGGAGAAAAATGCAGAATCTGTTTGTTGTTTTGCTGACGCTTCCTATAGAACCGGAAAGCAGGGAGTAAGCTCATTCTTCTTTGAAATCCCCAAACCTTTGCCCATAGTTGGAACATATGCATATGAATATTGATTGGCTGATAGAAGAAGTGAGGCAGAAAGGGAGAGTATATGACGCAGAAACATCCCAATGACACAGAATCAGGACAGCACCCCCAGAAAGAGCACGTGCGTTAGAATCAGACAGATAGGGATTGGAATTCTAGCTTCTCTGCTTAAGAGCTGTGTGACCTTAGATGAGTCACTTAACCTTTCTGGGCCTTGGCTTCCTCATCCGCACAAGAGGAGCAGCATTAGCCACCCATCATCACAGTTGTAAGGGTTAAATGAGACAGCATCAGTAAACATCTAAGAGCGTGCCTGGCACACAGTATAGGCCTCTCTTACTTCCTTACATCCAGCCATCCAGATCTGCATGAGAAGACCAACCTCCAGCACTCATGCTTGCTATTTACCTGCCCCTGAACTGAAGGATGGGAAGCCAGAGACTGTCCATGTGGCTTCCACAGTCAGGAGAGGACAGTGCCATGGAGTGGGTCAGGGAGGCAGCCCGGGCCCAAATTTCACTGGCTGCAGGAATCCAGTACAGTTGGCCTGGGCCTCTTCCAGCCAATTTTGCCAGATGTAATTTGGCTTCCACTCGAGGTTCCAAAGCAGTTATGTAATCATAATAACCACAGCATTTGGAGAAAGCTTTTATAGTTTCAAAGCACTTTTGCATGTATTACCTCAGTTGATCTTCTCAATAACCTTGAAAAGTAGCTAAGGCAAGGACTAGAACCTCCTTGTTGTAGGTGGGAAAATTGAGGCTTGGTGGGTTTATCTGGTTCACCTTGAGTCAGACATCTAATAAGTGGCAACATCAAACTTGGACAAAGATCTCTTGATTCCTTGCCCTGGGCTTTTCCCACACCATCACATCATATCTTTGTCATCAAGCAAAAGTGGGCTAAGCACCTACTGTGTGCCAGGCAAAGTACTAAGGGCGTGGATTCAGAAATGAAAGGCAGAGTCAAGTTCAGGAGAGATGCAGGACCAAACCACTCTGTAGCATGTGATAGCTGCCACGGTGAAGGAATAAGAGGAACAGTGAGGACGCAGTAAACTAAACTTGATCCAGGGCTTCAGGAAGGCCTCCTGGAGCAGGCAGTGCATTAATCCAGGCTTGGAGAACAGCTAGAGGTTGCCCAGGCAGAGAGCCAGAGGTTGTTCAGGAAGAAAGAAAAAGGAGAGGAGTTGCAGGCAGCAGCACCAGCAAATAGAAAGCTACAAGTATGCAACCAGCAGGACACACCTGGGAATGCTGCGAGGTGTTGGAACTGGCTCCACCCAGCCAGCCATTCACTCACTCATTCATTCATTCAATGCATATTTCTGGAGCACCGCCATGTACCAGGCACTGTGCTAGCCACTAGGGATAAATACCTCAGGAGATGTAGTTCCTGAGCCCACAAAGGTTACCTCCCAGTGGATTTCCAAGGATTCAGATGGGAAACAGTAGCTTGTGTAGGTGGAGGCACCTAAGAAGGCTGGGTGTGGAGGGCCAGGATGTTAGCCTCAGGGGCATGAAGAGCCCTGGTGGATTTTCAGCACAGGATTAACAAGATCCGGTTTGCATTTTGGAAAGAGTGAACCCCAGTGAACTGAAAGGATGGGCTAGAGAAGGTTGTCTGGAATCCAGGAGCCCAGCTAGGAAACTGCAGCAGCCCAAGCAAGAAAGGACTGGCCACAACAAGGTTCTAAGCTACAACAATGCAGAAAGCAAAAGGGAAAATGAAAGTATTGACAGGCCTTGCTGGTTAATTGGATGTGAGGGTGAGGAAGAGGGAGCCTGGACAGCCACTCTGAGTGTCTGGCTTGAGCCCCTTCTCAGGTAGTGATGCTATTTCCTAGAACCAGAATGTGAGAGAACCATCTGGAAGATGGGAAGCCTGAAGAAGACTTGTTCCCATGGGGACATGCTGGGTGTCAAGGGTGTGGTCTGTGGTCGCCCTGAGGACATGCTTATTAGGCGTTGGGATCAGCGTGTCTGGAGCCCAGAAAAGATCTCAGGGCCAGAGGTGCAGTTTGGAGTGTCAAGTGCTTACTAACAATGTTCGATACTTGGATAGAGGGAGAAAACACCAGATCCTACTGCAACAAATCCCTAAGGGTGTCCAGATTTGTTCTGTGATACCAAAACTCCACTGGGCAAAAGTCAGGCTCTTAGCCAGGGGGAGGAATCATTGGTCCCCAAGAGGGGTTGATAGTGATGGGTTGTGGGGACTTTGGCTTGTAGTTGGATTTCTGGGGTCTCATCAATCTCCAGAACCCAGTCTGAAGTCACCCATGTCCTTCTCTCTCTCTCTCTTCTCTCCTTCAGGTGTTTACAAAATATGGGAAGTGTTACATGTTTAACTCAGGCGAGGATGGCAAACCTCTGCTCACCACGGTCAAGGGAGGGACAGGCAACGGGCTGGAGATCATGCTGGACATTCAGCAAGATGAGTACCTGCCCATCTGGGGAGAGACAGGTGAGCCGGGCACATGGACCTGGGCAGTGGGTGATGGCGGAGGGTGCAGGACTTTGAAAGGCTGGTTTGCCTCACGTGAGCTGTCTTGGCCCACCCTGTGAAGCACTGGGTGGCGGTATGCTGGTGAATGATAAGGATGTTCCTGGCATGGACTGGGATGAGTTTCCTTGGATTTCACTAGATGAGAGAGGGCCAGATGATGGGAATATTAGAAAGAGAAGGCAGGTAGGGTGAGGAGAGGTGTTGGGAGGAGGCATGGAGAAAGGTTTGAAGCAACGAGTATGGTTCGGCAGGTGACTGGCTTGATTTCAGGAGACGACAGGATGGACCAGCCCCTTCTTCTCCCAGCCATATCGAATATCCCAACCAAGCTAGGGGCCCAGTGGAAAGCAAAGCAGGTTCTTCTTGCTGGGGGAAGGGGGAGGGGCTGTGCAATGTTGGAAAGCTAAAGGGTAGACACTCAGGGGTCTGACACCATGCCTGCGTGAGCCCCTGGGGGCCCAGGTGTATACGGGTTTTAAAGCTTATTTCCTGCATTCATTTATTCATTTATTCATTCAACAAATAATTCATTGCACCAAAGTAAGGACCTTAAGCTAAAAAAGATGGAGTCCTTGGTTATAACCTGGAGGAGAAGACACATGAGGAGGGACAGTGACCTCCACCTGGGGGCAAGAGAAGGAAAGTTCAGGGAAAACATCATAGTACATGGGCCATTTCAATTGGGTCTAGAGGTTATCCTGCATTATACACATGGGTTCTCATGAGAGGAGTGCAGGAAGGTCAGACAGAGGAAACAGCAATGTGAAGGCAGAAGCAGAGACCAAGTGATATAGCCAGTAAGCCCAGGATGTTGGCAGCCTCCAGAATTCTACCAGGTGGAAAAAGTAAAGAGGTGCCCAAGAGTGGGACCATGGATGCAAAAGAGACCAGATAAGACTAATGCTGTGTTCTGGGCATAAGGCTAGGAGTGGTGAAGGGGCTCAAGGGATGGACCTGAGGAGAGGCCACACGGGACGGAGGAGAGGGGTGCAGGGCGGTGTAGAGATGACAGAAGGTTCAAGCAGGAGGGTGACCCTGAGCCCTCAGGTTGGAGATGGGGGTGGAGAGCAGTGGATGGAGGCCTAGCAGCCCAGCCCCCACTTCCTGCAGCCAGTCCTTCCCGTTGTGAGGCCCAGCCCTACCCATGGCCAGGCCTTTCAGGTTTCCGAGGCAGCAAAGGTTTCTACCCCAGGGTTGACTGGCTGCAACTCCAAGCTCTCTCCCTACCGCCACTCTCTCCCTTCCAGCACATCTCACTTGCACACCCTGTCAGAAAAAGGCAGGTGTAGCCACTTGCCTCACCTTATGGTTAGTTCTCCTGCTCCTTCATCACACACATCCTTCTGGTAATGCCTTCTGGCCACTTACCTCACACTCCAGACCCTCTGGGCCCCATCTGCTGCTCGCTACTAACAAGACACTCAGTGCCTCCCATCCACTTTTCTAAATTCAGTGCCCCTCCCCTCTAGCAAATGGGCGAAAGTTTGGGCTACTGCCAGGCTCTGGCTACCCTGCATGCTGGCCAGCAGAGCCTGGTTCTCCAGAACCTTTCAGGGTCAGCCTGTGTCCTGTGACCATGGGGGCCTGTAGATAACCCTGGGTCCCAGGAGCTGAATCTTGGTCCAAAGAGACCCTGCCCTGTAAACACCAGAACGTATTTTCTCATTGAACCGCCTGTGGGAAAGGAGAGCAATGAGGAAATTAAAAAGGGGTCTTGGAGATTGGGCTGACTGTGCCCCACACTAGGATGTCTCCTCAGCCGAACATCCTTGTGCAAGGAGCACCCTGGAAGTGTGTCACTGATGGCAGGCTCAGTTGCATGTCGACCTAGACAGTATGTTCCCAAAGGGGCACTGTGGATGCCAGGATTTGGGGATGTTACATGTTCTAAGAATAAAAAAAACCTGGTAAACTCTGATTACACAAGTTAAACACATTTATTCATTGCAGGATTTCTTTAATATGCTACATCATGCATCCTCCAAGATAGAATATTGCACGAGCATTTATCTCCCAGAGGCCTGTGAGTGCAAGCCTTCTTTCTCGTGGAGGAGCTCACAAGACAGAAAAAGGACAGAAAAGCTGTCCTAGACTGTAGAAGCGCAGATGTCATGGCCAGCATTTTCTAAAGGAAATTAAACTGAAGGCAGGTGGGAGGTTGTTAAAAATGAAATTCTGTGTAGATGCCTCTGAGAAACTTCAAAGGAAAAAAAGGAAATAGGCAGTGGGTGATCTCAGTTGCTCATGAGAGAAGCAGGATTCAAACAAGCTTAGGCATAAAAGGAATCATATTGCCCAGAATCCATGGCGAGGTTCAACAACCAAACAGCGGGAGGGCGAGGACGCAGCTCCAGAAAGAACCACAACAGAGGGCTCAGGCCCCTCACACTCTACTTCTCTGGCCTCTCCTCTCTCTGCATCCTGCATCTCTCTCACTAGAGACAGGCTGTCTTCACACATGTAGTTTTTTTTCACACATGGTTCCCAATAGTTTTATAGTTTACACATCCTACCACCAGCGAGAGACTGTTCTGAGTCTCTTACTGAACCGATCCCCTATTTAACACACACACAGGGAGTGAGTCATTGGCCCAGGTCAGTCAGGTGCCCACTCTGGACCAATCACTGACCAAGGAGTGAGTTCATGGAAGGCTGTGAGAGCCCTAAGGAGGCTGGGGAGATGGCAGCTGGAAGGAGTTCCCAAGAGATTATCTCAAGAATGGCTGTGCTGGGGGAGGTAGAGACCAGGGTGAGGGGAGAGGGTGAGTTACATCCGAGGAAACCAGAGCTGGTGTACAAGGAGTTCTTTAATAAGCTCGATTTCTGGATAGATAGGCTCAAATAAGACCTTCCCTTCCTCATCTCCCTCTACCCTTCATTCATCCCAGTGCCAAACAACATTCTTATCAAATATTATCTCCTTGGTTTCTCCAAATTCTAGTATTTTAAAAAATGAATTTGATATAATCTGTTTAAACAAAGGAATTACTTGGAGAGTCTATGCTCTAAAAGAGTATATATCTGCCCCCTTCATATTCCCCTCTGCCTCATCACTTCCTATCCCATCCTCTTGTCTACGTGGCTATAGCCACACTGGCTTCCCTGTGGCTTCTGGGACACTCCAAGAACACTGTCACTTTAGGGCATCCTCATTCTTCATTCCCTCCACCTAGAATCCTCTTCACTTAGACCCACATGGCTAACTGCCTCTCTCCATCAAGTCATTGCTCAGTGAGGCCTCCTTTGACCACCTCATTTAAAACTGTGCCCACCCCACTCTGCACCTCTCCTATCTGCTCTGCTTGTCCTTTTCTCTGTGACTTGTGTCCCCTTCAAGTATTCCATATGATTTACTTACTGGTTTTTTCTTGTCTATCCCTTTTTACTAAAACATATGCTCCAAGAGGTTAGAGAACTTGGATGTCTGGCTTACTTACATACATATACCAGGTTAATAAATGTTTATAGATATATTTGTTGAGAGGAAAAAAATTTCTGTGCACACCAATGGGGCCAGGATGAGGAAGACACTGATGTTAATGAGCTACTATGTGCCGAGAACATCCTATCCCAAGAACCCTCCCAGTTACCCTGCTTAACAAGGATTATAATCCCCATTGAAAGATAGAGCAACTGGAACCCCGAGAGGCTGCATGAGCTTCCTAAGAACACACCCCAGGTTAAGTAGTTAAAGCAAACTGAAAACCTACTTGTGAACTCCAAGGCCATTCTCATTGTACCACAGTCCTTTAATGTTCAAAACTTGATTGTAAAGGCACTACCATGAAAATAGCTCAGGGGGGGGAAAGGTTCAGGTGACATCTTTGAAGAGAGAATGGTATATAATGATAGGTCTGTTGATGTCCTTTTCTATTTTTTTCTGAGTTTTTTTTCTTTCTTTTCTTTTTTTTTTTTTTTTGCAATAGCAGAATCCTTGTATAACAAAAGCTTCAGCACAGTGCCAATATATAAAACAGATGAAGGCAGAGCTACTCCAGTTGAACTGGAAAGGGGGATCCCAGTTTGATTTTTCCACATTCACTGTGGCCAACTGCGGGATATTCCCTAAGGACAACCCTAAGGCTCCAGCAGGGACTGACGTTGTTGGGATGAAAACTGAGTTGCATGGTTCTGTGCCTGTGTATGTCACAGCGACCAATGCCAAACACCGTTCCCCCTCTTCCACCCAGAGATGCTAAAAGCAGCTCAGACCTGTCCTCTGAGCTCCAGAGCCTCGGGGAAGAGGTCAGCCTGGACATTCCGGGGCACGGTGGGTTGAACATGAGTGTTTACGGAGGCTTCCCTCCCCCACCCACACCCAAAGGGCAATAAAGGATTTATTTTTTTTAAGGGTGAAGTGGATGGGAGAGAAGACAATAGTAGGTGTCTGTAAACTTTGAAAGATGGAAAGCAGATAGATGCTAGCTGACTCAGCAGAGCAGACGAGGCTGAAAGATGAGGGTCTGCACTGGGAAGCCAACTAAAGCCAAACAGTTCGCACCGCAGAAGCTCAAGAAAGGATCAAGGGTTGAAGACAGCAGGTTCTACTGAAGATAGAGATGAGAAGTGGAGTTAAAATGGGGAGGATTAGTTAAAAGCCTATAAAAGGAGCTGGTAAGTCCCCTAGATATCCTCCCATGGCCCAGAGTAGTCAGACAAATACCTCCCCACCTGCAGCTGAAAATATGATCGAAACGGACAGGCTCTGGGCTGGGGCAAACCAGGCAAAGCCGAGGGCACGGGTGAGGTGCTGTACAGAAAACAGGGAGGTGAGGGGAAAACTCTGCTTACTGAGTAGTGAGACCTGCATGCAGGCTAATCCACCCTACTGCTACACAGAACTCTGGAGATACTGACAGTCTTCAGAGCAAAGGCCCACACAGAATGACAGTGAGGAGTCCCCAAACAAAATGGCCCGGTTGGGTCACCCCAGAGTGAAGGCTCTTGGCAAGTCCTCC